GGGCCCCTCGCTGTTCCCTCCCCCCAATGTTTCCACAGCCATGCACCCTATGCTTACCCTACTCCTTGCCTCTTGACCACAGTGCCTTGGAAGACCGGCCCTAGCACCAGATCCGGAGCCCCATGGCTTGAACCGGGGTGGGAGTTGGGTGGGGCTGAAGCCCAGAGCCCCGCTACCCAAGAGGGGCTAAAGCCTGGAACCCTGCAGGTGGGGGTGTGGCTGAACCATGGAGCCTGTTGCCAGAGCCCCAAGATGATGGGGATTGGGGGGGGGGGGAGTTAAGCCTGCCCCCTGCAGCTGAAGCCATCTCTGCTCAGGAGGGTGTCATGGCCACAGGAAAAACCCCTGGTGGCTGTATTTGATAAATGTTGGCCTAGAGTCTGTTCCCATTGGATTCAGTGTCTGGTGGCAAGAGCACAAGTAGGAGACCTGTGTTTTGTTCGATGCTGACACAGACATTCTATTACCTTGGACAAATCACTTAAGTACCTGTGCCTCAGTTTATACCTGGAAAAAAAAATTATCTTTGCAAAGTGCTTTGAGAGCCGTATGTTGAAGGTGCTATGTTAAGTACAGAGTATCAAAATGACTTACTATTATAAATAAAACTATAATTTTATTCAAAGCAAATACTGCTTTCTTTGGGATGTACGATCTTGGTTAAAGTGGATTCGGGGGGCGTGAGGTATTTTTTCTTACAGGTAACATTTTAGGTTCCTGTAAATTAACACATTTTTAAAATTGAAGTTTCACCTATTATTCTGTCTTTGCATTCTTTCAGTGCTGATTAGACTTGTCAGTCTTGCTTGTTTTAATGTCTAATGACTTCTCTCTGATTTTTGTTCACAAGCACAAAACCGCTGTTTGCATTGCACACACCACAGGGTAATGTATTAGTTTAAAAACTAACTTTCTATTGGAATCTTGAGCCTGGGGATTGTGAGAGATTATAAAAACACATATTAAATAGATTTAATCAACTCTCTCTCCCAAGTTTCTCATAGTTCTCTAGACTCTAGCTAAAGTACAGATTGCTGAGTTATTTGAAATTTGTTTCTTTTGCTTTAAATTCTATTTTGCATAATAGGAATTATGGAAAACCAAATAAGAATGATTAGTTAGTATTTACAGTGTTTAAAAGAATGACGCCAGCATATGATGTTAACAATATGGGATGTTAAAACTTGTCAGGAGATAAATATAATACATTAATTCAAGGTCTCTCACAGTCTTGTTATGTAGGCAAACTTTCTTAATTCTTTACTGTTCTAGACAGGTGATTTTGGTACCAGCTATGCATTTGAACTATGCATTCTTAAATACAGAATTTTGTCAGTGTGTCAGTTAAATTATGGACTGCCTGTGGCAGTTCATCCAAACACTAACGTTAGAATTTTAAAAATGTATACCAATTATTTAATTACTAAGAATGTCAACTCATTTACCTTGCCAACGTGATACTTGCAGCCAGGCTCTTCCAGTTTTTCTCTCCCATCACTCCAAAATCCAAATACAATATGCACATAATGATTTGAAAACTATTCTAATTTCTATGGAATTTCACCACTACTATATATTCTAAATGTCACTTCAATCAAATGTTCAAATAAGGGAAAAAAATCTTTAACTTACAAATCAGGTCAAAGCTTTTTCATCTTTCTCTGGAAAATTGTCAGCTTCTTTTTATCACAAAACTCCTGATTTCTAGATTGATCTCTGAAACATTCGGGGCTTCTCTCAGTTATCTTTTAGTAGGGTTAAGCAGTATCTCATTACACTAACGTGGCCCAGCATTTTTAATTTTTTGCAGCTTCAAAACTCTAAATAGCTTATTAATCTTAGTTGTCTAGAAAACATGCTAAATCAAAGTTGTTGGTGAAACACAAGTGCTCATCAGACATATTTAGTTATTTACAGTTATTTTAACTTAAGTATGTACTTTCTAAGAAGCATTTAGCTTAATAGCCAAATTGTCAGTTGAGCAAATTACATGTTTTTTTGTCAGGGTGTTCTGTCTTGCTTTCAACTCCTATTCTGGTTAGATGTTTCAAATCTTTGTCACTTTTTGACCTGCCCACATAACTTCGCCAAGAAGAGGAACCAGCCCTCAACACCGATCAGAAACTGTATAAAACTAGCCTTGTTTTGTTCAGCAATTCTCTCCTTCAGAATAAAAAAATCCTGACAAAGAACATGAATTTTGCCCAAGTGACAACTTGCATTTTTGTTTCTCGACTTTTTACCATTCAGTCCTGGGATCAAGAACTGCAAGAAAATTTTATGAATCTTTAGGTGCAGGTGTCTTATGCCATCAAGTTTGTGTAAGACCTGTGAGGCTTTACCAGATTTGCAAAACGTCTTGGGACATAATGGATTGCAAGAGACATTTTATCAAGGCAATCATTGAACATCTGCCCGTTATTTTAGTTCCAGTCAACAACATTCTTCCCCAGACCGCTTCCCTGAGGCCTCTCTTGTGGTGTACCCCTTGGCCAACCTTACATGGCTCTTTGTTCTTTCCCAATTTGTGGTTTCTGTCACCACTCCTAGATGCCTAAAGAAATGTCTGTTTTGAAGCTAGAGTATCTTTACGTAAAGTCTCTTCATATTCCTTGTTTTCTGTATTTGTTTAGTAGTTCATCATGCAGCAATATAAAGTTATTTGCTTGATCTAACACCAATAGGATATAAGTTTAAACAATAAGGCAAAACACCTGTCTATACTCCATACAAATACTTGGTTATTCCCTACAATTTAGTGACAAGGTTGGTAGGATCACTTCTTATGTTAAGCTTTGTGTGCAGTTGCCAGTTATAGTCAGTCAGTCAGACTTTACGGTTATTTAGCTCTTAGAACATTTGGTTAAGGTTACCTTAAACTTTCACTTCACATTGGCTTCTCTGCATAAGTGGATTACCTTTTTAATAAGAAACAAACACCTTGTTATACCTTTAACTATTAGTCATATTTATTATCACATTTCTTTTTAAACTATCAGAGGGGTAGCCGTGTTAGTCTGAATCTGTAAAAAGCAACAGAGGGTCCTGTGGCACCTTTGAGACTAACAGAAGTATTGGGAGCACAACTTGCATCTGAAGAAGTGAGGTTCTTACCCACGAAAGCTTATGCTCCCAATACTTCTGTTAGTCTCAAAGGTGCCACAGGACCCTCTGTTGCTTTTTAAGCTAGATAGCATTGTCTGCACTATATGCAATACTTTTTATTGTTTTAGTTTTCCTTAAGGAAATTTCTTTAGACTGCAGGAGTCTGCTTCTTTTCTGAAAACCTTAGGTAACTTTAAATTTTCTGTCCAGCTTCTAAAACTTTAATCAATACTCTTTCTCATATCCAAACACAAACCATTATTGGATTAAATGTAATTGCTTTATTTACTGTATAAATCTACATTGTGAACTTCTAATATTTCAATAAAAGGAAAAGCTAAGAGAAATCTACTTCATTATAACTTGCAGTTTGTGGTTAGTTTAAGTCTCTAACTGTTGCATAGTTACCCAATCTAATTCTCTGTGAAACATAGAAGGATCTGTTTGATTTACTGTACAAATCTATATTGGGAACCTCTATGCATATTCAGTATAAGAAAAATAAGAGGAATTTATTTAACCATGAATTGTAAATTATGATGAGCTTAAATAACTAGCTGTTGTAGTTACCCCAACTTAAATCTTAATGAAACACAGAAGCATCTCCTGCTTTTTGGCATGTTGTGATTCATAAATGCGCTACTGGTCAAAGTTGTAATAAGCAAACCACCAAAGATGATATTGGAAAGCTTTCTTAATATGCAAAACTGAGTGGCATTTGAGATAATGAAGTAGAAGGTGACTGCAAATAGCATTCTTGCCTTAGACTATAGTTTCTCAAATTGAACAATGATGGGAGGAATACCAAAGTGCTGAAAATAGGACAGATGGGATGAGTGAGCCTTTTGTTAGTATTTTTCAGAAATACAAAAAAGTACTGAACTAGCATATTTATATCTACTCTATGCTCTCACAAAAATAATCTTACTGATCTGATTATAGGAAAGAGATTCTTAATGCTGTTTTAAAACAGATGAAATTGATCCAGAAAGCTCTTTATTTAGTAGCATAACGTGATAAAGGAAATAAATCTTTGACACAGGAAAAACAAGGAAAAGCCTACATGGTTGCTCTTTAATATACTTAGTGTTTCTGTGACTGTAGATGACATTAATATTTAATTCAGGTAGTGGATTTTTTTGTTTGTTTGTTTGTTTTTTTTGTTAAGTTCAGTGCTCATGGCAACAAATGACTGGTAGCATTGGATCAGTAGAGCAAATGTTTAAACAACTCCTTATAATTTGACCGATACAGGTTAAGAGTAAGTGTATAACACATCTTTCAATTTCATGCTTCTCTTCAGCAGAGACTACCAATTCTATCTGTAGTATTTGCAATATGGAAAAATACCCACGTGCCATTGGGCTAACACAACCAAACTTGTTTTTGCTATGCTGAGGGATGCTAAATTTCTCTGTATGAATGTCAGTAGGGAAGGCAAAGGCTAATGAGGTGACTGTAGTTCCTTATTAACTGACTCATTCTTATACTGGATGGAATCTCAGCATTAGTTCTTAAACTTAACTTAAAGTTTTTTTGGCATTTTTATCTAGACAGGAAGTGAAAGCGGACAGATGCTGGTGAATGCCCCATGGCCGCGACTACAACAGTTCATTCGTCCACTACCCACCATAACTTGGAAGCTTTCTTTAGGTAAGGAAATTGCCTCAGACTGTCCTATACAACTTATAAAATTGGGCTTTTATATCTAATTATGTTGGTTCTATACCTTCATAGTTGTAAAATATCTGTGCATGTTGTATGTCACAGTTGCTTTGTTTTCAATTGTGATCTTATGCATAGTATATTTCTGTAATTACTAATTATAAATTATTTACTGTGTCAAAGTTTTCTTGTATACTGTAATAATTAATAACATTCTTGCAGAAAGGTAGTACATGTGTAGAACAACCAAAAGTGATCAAAAGGATACAGTCAACTTAGAAGAAAGATTTTTGTTGTTTGTTTGTTTTTGGGGTTTTTTTTGTTAGGAACATGGTGTAACAGTAGGATGTACAAGTAATACAAGATTACTGTAACTGAGAGACATTGAAGTTAAAAAACATTCTCTGGATGCTATCCGCAGATTCCATCCTGTGTTTTGGTTGTTTAACATCAGACGAGTACAGCTCCCCAGCTCTTAGATTCTCTTACTTGTGTGAGCAACACCTTCTTTTCCTGCCCACGCATGGAAAACTTATATATCCCTTTGCAGACTTGCTTGGTTGAGGGTAATGGTACACAATCAATACCATATTATTAAACCAACACCATAAGTGTAACTTCAGTCCCTATAATTGTACAACTAATGATAACTGGGTGCATTCTGAAGACATAAAGTGGCCCAAGATTAGAGCCATACACCTTGCAGTTCCCTGCTCTGTTACAAAACTCTTTGCTGAGCGAACATGATGAGACTAGCTTCTTCAGTAGTGCTCTTGGTTTAATTAAAATACTTTAAGAATTCTTTAAGAATTCTAATAAAGTCCCGCATGGGTTTCCCAGACTTTGCAGGTCAGTTTGTCTTTGGTCGATGACTTCACAGGTCAATTCATCTTCTGGGACCCCTCCCTGTCTTCTGGTTAAGGAATCCTTTCATACATACAGGATGACTCAGCAATGGGATGGATGTTCAAATACCTGAAAGGTGCTGATGTTAGACAGGAACTTCCACATTCTTTGGAGGTATGTGTGCATGTGCACCTCTGATTCAAGGCTACCTTGATTATATCACCTGAAAATTAGACTAGTTAACTTCAGTTGTAGAAAATATATTGTAAGCTATTTTTAAGAAATAGCTGTATATGTGACATACATCTTATTTTAGATTTTAGTTAATGCCAGAATGGAACAGAAGGTTCTGTGAATACTTATGTATAAAAGAAAAATTTAAAAAAAAGAGAGATCTACATTTATGGTGATTGTCCATGATCTATAAGCAATACACTTTTTTCTTTCTTTCTTTCCAGTTTGTGGTTCTAAATTTGGTACTGCACAACATTGTGATGCAACTATGCAAGAGTTTTAAAATATTATAGAAGTATATAGAATACCAAAACTATATGAGACTCAAAAATAGCTAAACTAAAATAGTATGATAGTTAATGTAATAATTACCATATTTTGTTGTTGCTGACAACCTGCAGTCTGCTTTCATGTACCATATATATATTAGCATTTACAAGGTACTACTTATTCCACTCTTTGGCCCCACCCTAGCATATGGGGTGTGGTCACAATCTTGCATTCTCATGAGTCTCAACTGCCCAAACAATCCTTGGGGACCAATGGCAGCAGCCGCAGTTTCAGCAAGCCTCTGCACACTACCTCCTCATCTATACTGGATGCCAAATGTCTGCTTCTGAGCAACTCACCCTTTATGTTTAGAGAAAGGGCATGCACAGTTTTCATAGTTGTATCATTTAGATGATGTAGAGTCATAGGAGTAGAATTAAAATTTTAACAGTGTGTAGTAGTTTGTGAAATTTTGAAGTTAATAATATGTTGCATGCAAAAAATATAAATATTGCAAAGGCAAGCACTCAAAATTTGGAAATGCTAGGATTAAGGTTGCCAGGGTAGCCTTAATTCGGCCCCCTTATGTGATCATTGTAATGCATATGCACAACATTTTTTTTCCATATGTGCTGATGGCGGAGGAATGGCGAGACTCTCTGGAGAGGAGTCTCTTGGGCACAGACTCTTCTTCCCATTTTCCCCCAACCATGACCCCTTCTGCGCTGTCTCTTCCCCACTCTTGGTTCCTAGGCCAATTCTCCTTACCTAGCAAGCCCCAGTTTCCACTCCTGAGGCTTCTTATCCCAGTCTTTGTACAGCTAGGCCTAGTCTCACCCCCCTGAACTTCCAGTCCCAGGTCCCCCTAGCCTCCATTCATCACCCACCACCTATGTTCCCTATCCCCATGGTCTCTTTCCCAAGGCTCCTCATCTAGTATGTGTCATGTCTCCCTTCTCCAGGCTCCTTACCCAGCCAGTCATTGTCTCTCCAATGCTCTTTCAGATTTTGGTCTCCCCGCCCACTGGCACTCATCCAGTCACAATCTACCACACCAAATTTTGCTGTTGTCCCTCTGTATTCAAATTGAGATCTCCTCTTCCATCCTGCCTGGGCCCAATGCTGTCCTTGAGAGTTGGTCTCCTGTGCTATCAGTTCTGGTGTCCAGCCTGACCTGCAGCAATCTTGTGCAACAATTTTAAGGAAAGTCCTGCTCAGCTCCAAGCTGGAGCACGCGATCAAAATCATAAGGGAGTTTAGCTGTGACGCTCTAGCAAGTCTCTGCTGAGCGTGTGTAAGTGCAGTTTGTCAAAGGTTTATAACTTGGCCAAACTTGGGCACATTTTCACAGAAATAAGACACATCCTTGAAACAAAAGACTCCCCCTGCCAAATGAAAGTCCCTCATGCAAAGCATGTGGTTGCTTATCAAAGATGATGATGCCGGAAATTAACATGGGGAAGCATGTTTTCCCTATACCTTATTATTAGAAATAGCTGAGCTATTTTGGCTGATGGATTTTTTTTTCAAAAAATTCAGCCGGAGGAAGACATCTGGCATGGAAAATTTCATCCCAGGCAGTTTAAAGTTGTCAGTTACAAGGAACCAAAAATGGGATCTTATAATGGGACGCTACCAACTCTGCCTGTAATATCAAAATACTAACTTTAACGTTATACTGCAGATACATTTAGTGATTCTCTGGACAGTTGTTAAATTGATCAGTTAGATGACTGTCTGACAAAATGGTCTGAATAGTGAAGCAAGACATTAAGTGTATATTAACATGAGCTAGTGTGCTGCTCTTCTTTAAATTAGTAAAAATCAAATTCTTGATTAGATTTGAAACACTCTTTTCTGTTAGATCAGAAAAACTTATTATTTAGTCATTTAAAAAGACAAAATTTCAGTTGTTATATCTCCCAATTTATTGTGACTTTAGTCACAATTTCTTTTTTTAACATGGTTTTCCTCTCCCTATTGCTGTGTGAAGACTACACAACAGGAAACTTAAGTACAGTGAAACTGACAATACAAAGAGCAGAATACTTTTCTCATCTTTCAGTTATAGTAATCTAGGTGGTCAATTTCAAAAACCAAAAACAAAACTTGGTCAATAATAAACTAGCTTCTTTGTGAAGTTACAGCATGCTGAAGTAGGATCCTTACATTGTAGGGGCAAGTGTCGGATAAATGTCTGTAGCCTAAATAAACATCAATGTGTAAAATAAACAAAAGATCGGTTTGGGAAAAAATAGGCATTGACAGTGTACCTTAAACTATAACACAGACAAATATAGAAATTACTAATGGACTCGCTAGTTTGAGCCTTCTTACTTAAACCTAGTAGCAAATCCCATAGGTTTATTTTCAGTGGAAATTTATGCGTATGATTAATTATTATTATTATTATTTTTTTTTTGGAGAAGGCAGTTGGTGGTATACTTGCATGAAATACTGTCAAAGGAAACTGCCCTTGGGTAGCTCATCTGGACGTAGGAAACTTGGTTTCATTAATTGTTACAGAGCATACCATATATATATAATATATGGAAATGAGACTCTTACTACTGTATGTACATTGTATGTAGTGCAGAGACATTTTGTATGGTAGTCAGATATACTTAGGCTTTGCTAACATGTCTGTTTTTGTTTTTGTGATCTGTACTTTTTTTTTTTAGAGATCTATTGTACTTGAAAACATACAGAAAGCTTTGTACCTTCATTACATCACACCACTCTAGTAACTGAAATTGTTTGCTCTCAAAATGAAGAGAATCAGGCGGACTGTTAAAACTGAGAATCCAATTCTCCAAGCACCACAAAGATCAAAAAAACAGAAAACTTTTTTCTATGGATCAGCATTTGGCAAGTCTCACCTGCAAACCTTGATGGACTGGGGAACGCTGCCACTCCATGTAGTTTTACATATTTTTCAGTTCCTGCCTTTAGTAGATCGAGCACGGGCATCTTCTGTTTGCCGAAGGTGGAATGAAGTTTTTCATATTCCTGACCTGTGGAGGAAGTTTGAATTTGAGCTTAACCAACCAGCTACTTCTTATTTAAAGTCTACTCACCCTGATCTCATTCAGCAAATTATCAAGAGACATGCTGATGATCTGCAGTATGTCAGCTTCAAGGTAAAGATAGGGGTGGAGGCTTGTTTTGTCACTTTACAGGACAGCTGTGTTTGTATTGCATCTCCATCCAAAAACCTTTCTTTTTTTTTCTTAAGAATAAATTGGTATGACTATTTTATTGAATGCATGGAAAGTTATATTCAAAGATGTTTGCAGCAATTTTTTTTCAGAAGGAAGCAGTTGCTAAAATTATGTACTTCCTATACATGCACAGTATCTACTTCACATGATTTTCATAGCCTGTTGTATTTAATTTAGTGTATTATTTGAAAAAATTAATTTTGCACAACATTGTCATAATTTTGACATTAAATAGTAGCTATTTACCTTTTGTGTTTAAAAATTACAAGACCAGTATTGTTGTTGGAAGTATTCTGTGTGGTTAGGATGTCAATCCTAGTCTTAGAGTTTTTGTTATAGTGGTACTAAATCAGAGGTGGGCAAACTTTTTGGCCCCAGGGCCACATCTCGGTATAGAAATTGTATGGTGGGCCATGAATGCTCTCGAAATTGGGGTTGGGGTGTGGAAGGGGGTGAGGGCTCTGGCTGGGGGTGCGGGATCTGGGGTGGGGCTGGGGATGAGGGGTTTGGAGTGTAGGATGGTGCTCTGGGCTGGGACTGAGGGGTTCGGAGGGCAGGAGGTGGCTCAAGGCTGTGGAAGGAGGATGTGGCACCGGGGGGAGGGGTGTGTCTCAGAGGTGCAGGCCAGCACTTACCTCAAGCAGCTCCCAGAAGCAGCGGCATGTCCCCCCTTCGGCTCCTACGCAGAGGCACAGCCAGGCCACTCCCCCGGCCAATGGGAGCTGCGGGGGCAGCATGCGGAGCAGAGCCCCCTGGCTGCCCCTATGCATAGGAGCCGGAGGAGGGACATCCGCTACTTCCAAGTTCCATGCGGAGCATTTCCCAATGCGGCCTGTAATTTGCCCACCCCTGCACTAAGTGCTCTACAGACTAATTCTCAGCTTCTGGGAGGGAAGAAGGGAAGTAGTATTTTCTACCTCTTAAACATGTAGAAATTAAAGCAGAGATGTAAAGGTCCCATCCAATTGCAAAGAAAATGTAATCAAAATAGAATATCTAACTACATATGTGAAAGGATATCACACAACTTTTTATATGCTGCACATGAATATTGAGGTGATTGAGAAATGTTAATGTCCAAGAAACAGCATGGTAATGTTTACACACACACACACACACACACACACACACACACACACACACACACACACACACACACACACACACACACACACACACACACACACACACACACACACACACACATACTACT